TGCTGAAGTATCTTCCTCTGCTCCCTATGAACATCACCAATATATCACTTAAATTTAGCATGATTTCTGAAGATCTAGATTCCTAATTAGTTTCTAATTTGTTTTACATATTCGTAACCTGATTGTTTACAGCTAATCCTGGTGTATTGCATTCTCATTGCTGTTATCCTTTAGCCATTGATTTTCAATTATTTGACGTTTCATCTCTATTGTCGTTTTGTGTTCCTGTCGTTTTTTACTTTTGAAATTCTATGTCGGATTTGCTTGTTGTCGTTTTCTCTTTTATTGCAGTTTCTTCCCCTTTGTTGACGTTTCTCTATTCTTGTAGTTTATATGCCAAGATCTATCTCGTATCCTGCCTTTCCTAGCATCCATATTCAGTTTGCCCTTTCCCTTCGGTTTCACCCTTGTTGTCATTTTTGTTCATTCACCTTCGTCGTTGTCGTTAGTTCTTTTTTTGCAATTTTTTTTTTTGGTCCAATACACTTTCGAGTTAGGGATCTAAACTTTAGGACTCAAAGTAACATCACTTACAAAATTTCAGTTTATAACTCATGAGTTATGTCTGTTGCATAATTACCAAGAAAAAATAAGAATTTAGCCTTGAGAGTGTATAAAGTCTGAACCTTTACTCCCTTCTTTTGATAAATACCCTTTTGTTAGTGTAATTATTTGACTAAAAAAATTATGAATCAAGAATAAAAAAAAAAAATCTTGACCCATATATTTTTAAGGGGAATTTGTCAAAACTACCTTAATACCAAACATTTGAAATTATGAATATATAAAGAGAGCCCAACTTCTTACTTTTACCAAAACTTTTATTAACCAACAGGTGAGACACATTTTCTTTCAACGTATCGAAATTTAAGCAATTATTAAAACATGTGAATATAAATATTAAAACAAGTTACTGCCTCTAAAATGAGTAAATAGGAAATACTAAAGGAAATCGAATGAACACAAAGGTGCCCAAAGCAACTATTTTATTTCTTTATTATTATTTTTTAAGGAAAAAAATAAAATAAATTACCCAATAAACAAAGCAACTATTTTGTAAAGCATACATACAATAAAATAAAAAAATAAATGTGTAAGGTCCTAATAAAGTAAATGATATCCCCTAAAAAATACCCAAAAATCTACTCTCAATCAATATTACAATGGAAAATCTAGATTCCGAGGTCCATCATCGCCACATAAAGCACTACAAATCTAGATTCCAACTATTTTTTGGCCCGTCTATCTATTGTTTTTCGCACTACTAATTTGTCCCAGGAAAGCATTCAATTGTGACCTCTCTCTCATTGGGGACCAATATCTGCCAAGTATGCCTAACCCCCTTTCTTCAACCCCACACCATTGACGTCGTTTTTAGGCGCAGCTACCGAATTTGGGAGTGCATTGGGACGAAGAAGGCGATGATGAAGCAGCCGATGTGATCAGATCATCCATAACATTTCTCTCTTGGCTTTCTCTGACACCCTTTGTTCTGATATCCTCAATCATCCCATGCACCACGCTCATCGTTGGGCGATCTTTCGGCGAAAAAGCCAAACAAAGCAGAGCCACTTGCACAAGAGCCATAATCTGCTCCTCCGTTTCTTTGTGTCTCAACAGCTCAACGTCCAACGCGTCCCACGTCCACTGATCTTCTCTAGCCACGCTCCGAACCCAATTCACCAAACTCGTCTCTTCTTCGGTACTCGCCATCTTCCCCGTCAAGATCTCAAGCAAAACCACCCCAAAGCTATATACGTCGCACTTGTGAGTAAACTTTCTCGGACTAGTACTATGGTTGCTGCTGAGCGTTACTAGTTCAGGAGCTGTGTAGGCGCTGAGCGGCGACAGCGGAACGCGCAAGAGTTGGTGTAGGCCAACGTCCGAAAGGCAAGCATTGCCCAAGTGATCAACTATGATGTTTGATGAAGTGACATGTCCGTGGAAGAGCTTGACTTTGTTGTGATATTGATCGTGGAGAGAAGCAAGGCCTCTTGCTGAATCTGAAGCCAGTTTCAGCCTTGTAGACCAATCCAATGGGGTTCTTCCCGGTCCCCTATTGCCTAATGAAAAAAAAAAATTACCATATTGATTAGTTAAAATTTACAGAGGAAAACATATGATTTGAGAGGATTTAGTTTACATCTCCTATTTAATTATTAGTGTCCCTCATGTTATGTCAAGTTGTTTAACAGAGTTGGACGTTAACATACAGAAAATTAAAAAGTATTTAAGAAATGTGGCATAAAGTGATTGTGTATTTATGAGAGAAAAAAAAATGTAAATTTGATTTTGGATGAAAAGGGCAACAAAGCAAACCATGCAAGAGATGATGGAGGCTTCCGTTGGGGAGAAAATCATAGACTAAGAGCAGAAGCTGATCATCATGATCATGATTTTGTGAACGGTGGTAAGCTCTGAGGCTCACAATGTTAGTGTGTCTCAGCCTTCCAATTATTTCCCTCAACCACCAATCGGCCTCCTTCCCTACTCTCCCCTCCCTCACCCTCTTCACCACAACTTTATCTCCGCCGTCCATCACCACTTTATAAGTGGTCCCCACACTTCCATTTCCAAGCATCTCGGCCGAAGCTCTCAACAGATCACTCACTCCAATTCCCTTCTTACAGCCGTCAAACACAACCATGCTTTCACCTCCCCACTTGGGCCCACCGTATACCCCATGGGGCCCACGCTGCCTTCTATTGAAGTGGTCATCACGTGATACGCACGTGTTTCTTTTGCGGCGACAGCACGCGACTGTCACTCCGATTGCTGCCAAAACCGCCGCCACGGCCACGCAAATAAGCGTCGTAAGCACGACTGAACGGTTCAATACTTTGTCCTTTTTATCGGATTTCTCGGCCTCGTTGTGGTCCGTCCGATTTGAGCAATCGTAGAGTAGAGGCTTTCCGCAGAGGCGCTTGTTGCCGCCAAACGACGTCGCGTCGAAATGCGACAGCCATGCCGGTATCTCGCCGGAGAGATTGTTTCCCGAGACGTTAAAATCGACAATAGAGTAACTATATGAGTAATTCACCGCGCCTAGTTCTCCGTCAAACGAGTTCGACTCAAGTCTGACGGTTAACAGTCGAGGCAACTGAGCTAACTCGGCCATCGGAATCTTCCGGGAGAAGCCATTATACGACAGGTCAAGCCGCTGGAGACGGCGGAGGCGGGAGATTCCGGCGGGGAATTCTCCTGCAAAGTGGTTGTGTGAGAGGTAAAGGTGCTTGAGGTTTGGCCACGAGGAAAGGTCTAAAGAGTGGCTATTGCCAAGGCGGTTGTGCTTGAGGCTAAGGTGTCTCAGGTGAACGAGTTGACTCAGCGGCCGAGCAGACCCGGTGAGGTTGAGATTCTCGAGGACGAGTCGCGTGACTCGACGGGTCTCTCGGTCGCAGGCGACGCCGAGCCACGAACCGGAGCAGGGGTCCGACGAGTTGAGCCAAGAGGCGAGCGAGTTCTGCGGGTCGGACGAGTCTCTGAAGGAAAGCAAGACTGTAACGTCTGGGTTAGAGAAGGAAACAGTGATGAAGATGGAGAAAATGAGCGAAGCCGAGAGACGAACTTTGTCGGCCAACATTTTTAGTCGCGGATTTGGGACAAAGAAAAAGTTTGGTTCGGAAAAAAGATGAAAACAAAAGCTGATATAGCCGTTGAGGAGATATTATTCTGAGGAGAAAAACAAAAACAGTAATTAAGAAGTTAAGTGTCCATGCTAAGCAAGCTGCTAATTTCTTCAAAACAATTAATTAATTAAGGGACAAAAATTCTTATTTCGTAAGACAACGACAGTATAAAATACTTGGGACATATATGTCATATCCTAACTGGTATCTAATCATCATATTATACCATATAATATAATTCATTGTATTCATACGATTACGCAAATAGCATGCAATGTCCATTAAATTTTTTAAAAAATAAAAAAAACTTTAAATAACACAACATCATTTGTACGAGGAGTTTTTATGGCTGAGTTGGTGTTTGGGACGTGGTTTATGGAGTCCACAAGAAGTTTTACTAGAACCGCGTTAACGGGCCTTTGGATTTTTTAGCAAATATCGAAGACGACACTGGACAGCCGTGTTATGGTCCTCCCCTCTTGTTGATTTTTATACTAAATGCACAAACACAACTGTCTTTGAGTATCTTTGAAAATTAATGTGTCCGCAAGTACTGAACCTTTGTGCTTAAGGAATGTTGAGAATCATTAGTTTGGACGCTAAATTAATTGAAACAAATGTTTTGTCGATCATATGACAATACAGTGTTAATCAAGTGCAAAGTTGTAATCACCTATCTGCGGATCTCATATACTTCCATTACTAACTAATTTTTGAGGCTTGTGGAGAAATGACTTGGATCTTTCAAGGGCCCAACAGTTGAGCGTGAGAAAACCGTGGTGATTAAGACCCAGCTGGCCAAAGTTTGTAGAGCTCAAAACGCCAGATCATGTTGGGCTACATTCGGCCCTATGAGGATTTTTCACATTTGAATTTAGAAAAAATAAAAAAAAGAGAAAATTACATAATTTATCCTAAGAGTGTATGAATCTAGATTTTTACCTCTCATTTTTTATTAAGGGATTCAAAATTGAGAAATTAAAAGATTTATGTTACGTTTAAATTAAAATGTTAAAATTTTTCGTTAAATGTGCTTTTCGACCCTAATTTAATACGATCATTATTAAAACGGAGCATATTATAACAATTTTATAAGTTGAGAGAGTAATTTGTCAAACGGAGCATATTGTGAGAGAATAAGTTACTATAAACACACAAGTTCAGAGGAAGAATGTGTCAAATACCAAAAAAAAAACTACGAAATTGTTTCCAAGTAGTTAAAACCTCGAAGGTTACGATTAAAAAAAAATTCTCAAAAGTTATTACGTCAAAGTAAAAATTTCTTTGTAATAAGAATTATTTTCTCTTTCCTTCCTAAATGACAAAGGCTGAGTTTGGTAGAGACTTTGGGAGGCCAAAATCAATATTTTTTTTTCAGCTAAAGCTGTTTAATGTGTTTGGTAAACACTTTAAAACTGATTCTTAGAGAATCCAAAAGCAATTTTTGGCTGAAATCAGAAGCAGCTCACTTGTTGCTTCTGATTGTAGATTGTGCGGGAATCTACCTGAGCCATTAATGAAATTTTTGTTATCCCTAAAATACCCCTACTGAATCAAAAAAATTCTCAGCCCCCTCATTTCCTTCTGCTCCTTTGCCATCTATCCTCTTTGAAATCGAACTCTCTCAGCCAAAGCTCTCCCAGCCTCAGCCTTGCTCTCTCAGCTCCCTCCGTTTATCTTTATTCTCTCTCTCGGACCCCCTCTCTCCGTTTCCGGCTAGGATCTCCTGCGATTGTCGGCGGCGGAGTCTCTCCTTTCTCTCTGTTCTCTCAGTGTTGGTGGTTTGCTCGTGTTAGGGTTGCTAGATTTCATAGCTGGCTGACACCGGATCTGGTTAGAGCTCACCATCTCTGCATCTGTAAGTACTCGATTGAGCTTTTTTTTAATGTTGATTTGGTTTCTGGCTTGATGACTTTTTATACAAAATTTTTTTTCTCTGCTCTGTAAACCGTAAACTTGTTTATCCTCTGAATGTCGATTTGGTCAAGGGATTTTTTTTCTCTAAATGTCGATTTGGTCGATTGGCTGGGGAAATCATTCAAGTTCGAATGATGGGGTTAAAACATGTATCAAGTGCATTTATGGGCCCTCTCTTGTTGCCTTTACCCGCAAAGTAGACAAATCAATATTTTAGGTTGAGATTATTTTGCCAGTTCTGTCCCCAATTTCTGGCAATCAGAATCCACCCTGTATTTTCCCCCTTCACTTTCACGGCCACCACTTCACCATCCAAGCCAACATTTGTAATCAAGACGTAGAAGTGAGAACTTCCACTAAGTGTGAATCTCACCCCACCCCTCCTCACACATTTCACCTAATCCAAAATAAACAGTGGCTTAGTTTGGTCGATTTGTCTAGCAATTTTTTTTTTTCAGCTAAAGTACTTTGATAAATTGTAAGCCTTATCGTTTTCTTTCCTAAAGTTTAGAGTTGTCATGCAAAAATAACCCCAAACTAAAACACCCTTTTGTGAATGTAAAGCCTAGGTGACGCTATAGTTTAGAGTTTGATTTGTGTTCTAGAGGGAGAAATTTTGTTGAACAAAACCGAGATCAGAAGAGCCTTTTGTGAGAATAGTACTTTTGATTGGAGGAAAGGAAAAACCGATTCTTGCTCTTTGTATGTATTTTCTATTTTTTCAATTTCAGGAGATGTTGGATTTTCTATGATTGAATCTTTTTTAGTTTGGTTGTTTTTGATTGTCGGTGTTGGATTTTCTCAAGCTATGTGTTTGAATGTTTGGCTATGTTATTTATTTGCAGCTTAAACTGTTTGATCTTTTGCCATTTTTTACCATTTTGTTTCGTCCTTACCATTCTATTGCAATACTAGCAAGAATGGAGGTTGACACTCTTGTGGTTTCATTTACTTAGCTCATTGTTCATTATCATTTGCTTAAAAAAGCCTCAACTTACTTTAGTTATTTTTATTATGTACAAATATGCGTTGGATTTATAATGGTGGTAGTACTTTCAGTCATCATTTGTTCAAATGGAGGGTAGTGTACCACAAGGTAAAGCAATATAAGATTTCGAGGCTGTAGACCTTTTTTGTGATTTGTGTATCAAAGAGGTTGAAGGTGGACACCGACTTGGAACACATCTTGATAAAATTGGATGGGAAAACGCAATTCAGAAATTTAATGAAGCAACCAAACGAGTATATAAAAGACAACAATTGAAGAATAAGTGGGATGCTTTGAAGAATGATTGGAAGCTTTGGAATGAACTTGTTGGGAAGGAAACTGGTTTAGGTTGGAACAATAAAAAGAATACTATTGATGCATCTGAGGAATGGTGGCAAAATAAATTATAGGTATACGAATGAAGTTGTACATTTTTAATAGTGTAGTGTTGGTGTGTGGCAGGTTTAATTTATTGAAGTGTTTTTATAGATTCATCCTAACGCATCGAAGTTTTTCACTCGGGGAATTAAACCAGAGTTCGAGAAAAAGTTAAATAGGATGTTTATTAATACTGTGGCCACAAGAGTGTGTTCTTGGACACCCACATCTGGACAGATGCCATGTGAGCCTGATAAAACAACAAATGAAATGAACTCCCCACTTGAACAACTTGAGAGTAGTGGTTCGTCAAATGCACCTATCGGAAGAAAAAATGCCACATGACCCTAAGAAGAAGCATCCAATTGAGCCAGTGAGGGACACAAGAAATTCAAAAAAGGGAAAGGCAAAACCACATTAGGAAGCATGATAAGCGTGATATACATTTTCAAAGGGTCGAAGATAATCTAGATGATTTCGTTTATGAAGAGAATCAACCAGATGACAACAATGCAGAAGATAATTAAGCTTTACTATCACTAGAAATGGATGAAGTACGAGATCAAATTGCGGCAAGTTTAATGAATACGACTTAATTCTTTTCATTTAAGTTAAGTTTGTAGGTATATACGTGTGTATTTGTAGGACTTAAGTTTGTATTTATAGGTATATACGTGTTTGTAGGCATATATGTGGTGTGTGTGTGTGTGTATGGATATATATGTTTGCAAGAACTATTCCTTTCATTTGCTCTTTTTTCTTGTGTATGGATATCAATGTGTGAATTTGCTCATTTACGTGTGTGTGTGTGTGTGTGTGTGTGTGTGTGAATTTGCTCATTTACGTGTGTGTGTGTGTGTGGATATCAATATGTTTGAAATGTTCTTTATTTGTGGTCATATAATTAACTATCATTTGGCTTAGCCCGTTTCTTGGCATGAAATTTCTCAACAAATTTATCATATTTTCTTGCAGATTTTTTAGAAGAACCCCACCAAAATTGATAATTATAATATTTGGTTGTGTTATTAAGACTGCAACTGCCCCTTGCAAGCTTTGCAAGAGAGAGAACACAAAACAATTCCACAACTCGAAGCTGAAGACCACATACAAGGCATCAAGGCCCAACTTGTTTATGTAACTTGGTCATTTGACGATCAAGCTTTTAACTTGTTTTGGAATGTACATTTTTGTTCAACAAATTGATTACTCACTAATGCTCCTTTTAGTTGTAATTATATTGTGAATGAAGAAATGAAAAAAAAAATTAATTATCATAAATTTATTGTTAAAAAACTCAAAATCATAGCATTATATTTTTTTTAAAGTTAAACAAGTATTTCTAAATACCAAAAATAATTATATATATTTAAGTTTCATACCATATTTATTTTGGTCATTTTACATATCCACATCAATTCAACCTCAAAATTTAACAAACGCTATTACACTAATTTTAGACTAACACAATTACTATAATTACAATTTACCAAACATCTAACTGCTTCTTCCTTCAATACAATTAAAAATATTTTTTCTAAAATCCAAGACACTACCAAAATAAACCATAAAGTGAGTAGTCTAACTTCCAAAATAGCTTAGCTAGACACTTGTCGATTACAATTCTTGCTCTTCTCTCTACGGATGTTAGACTATACTGGTGGAGGATCAAAATAAAAATACTGAGGCCTCGTTTATTTCACCGATTCGAGTTTTTAGTTTTAGATTTTTACAGTAAAAAATTTTCAAAAAATATCACATCAACTTTTTCTGTTACAGTAAAAAGCTCTCAAAAAGTGTCACATCTCAACTCGAATTGAAAATTCAAATCCGCAAAATGAACGAGACCTGAGTCGACCAGCAAACAAAGAACACTGTGAGTCGAGTTTACGGCCGGGCCAGCTATACCACTCTTAGGAGTCGTACACTGTACGATGTCGATGACATCATGAGGCACCGACAAGTCAAGCGTACCAACGTTTTCCAAAATATGCATTCACAAAAGGACATTATCCCAAGAAGTAAGATAAACTACGTTAAAAGTAAACAACCCCAAATTCCCTACTCGGATAAAAGAAAACGAGTAAATAAAGATTGAAAAATGCTTTCAAGTCCCAGCAATGCAATATCAGGTTATCCCATTTTAAAAGCCATTTTTTTATTAATATTTTCTCATCTTCCATGGATGTATAAGGTGCTTGTATTACATTAAATTTCAATAATACAAGACGTTTTCCAATTATGCTTTCGTAAATATATGATTGTCATTTACTCTTAATGAGTTCTTAATCTCTATCATATACTTAATTTTATCTAATTTACATACTATCGGTTATTTTTTGAATTTTTCAAAATTTTGTTTGAACATAAATTTATGCACGTTTCATAGATATTGTTGTCATTTTCGTCTAAGTCTAGATACCAATAATAATATTTTCAAAGCCTAATAAAATATGAACCACGGAAAGGAAATTAGCCAGGCCGGACCAGATTGTACGAATATTATTGTGAATTGTACCGACGCCAGTTCATCTCATCTCTTTGATCTCAATGCAAAGCAAGAGCCTTTTCCTGTAATCTCATCTTTTTTTTTTTTTTTTTTTGTGTGTGTTTGTGTGTGGTTAAAGCAGTCTACAACCACTGACAAAATTCCAACTGCCCCTCCCAACCAGACAAACGACACACGCATCCCACGTGCACCCTAATTTAGTCCCCCACATCACATTCACCGTCCTTTTAGTGCTCCACCTCTTTTTATTTATTTTTTTTCCTCCTCATTAATTACTTTTTTTCAATTTTATCTTATTAAGTCAAAAATATTTCGCAATAATCAAATTGTCTTTGAAATCTCTGTACTACATTTTGTAAGCGGAAAATAACTGGAGTACCAAGTACTTCTACCCAAAAAAAAAAAAAAAAAAAAAAACTGGAGTACAAGTTGAAGGAGATCTGGTATCCATTTTGATTCTATTTTGTGTAGCAAAGAGACATGTTCTATATCAAAGAGATAATACATATATATATACATATATATATATATACGCTTATGCATGTATGTATGTCTGATATCTTGTGCGGCTATGCCAAGCCTCTAGTAGCAAAGGAGGGGTCAACTAGAGATGGCCAAAAGTGCTTGAGAGAAGGGATTTAGATTTCTATAATCTATTAGTTGGGGTAGGCATCAATGTAAAGGGAGACAAAGCCTTAAATGATGTGGGCCCCAAAATCACAGTAATCAAGTGATACACAAGTTTACATTTTTCCTTTTGCAAGAAAACAAAAAAGAAAAAAGGTTATTAATTTATTTTTTTTTATTTTACCATATGTAACAATTTCCTTTCTCATGACCTGAAATCCATACATAAAACAACTAGACAAAACACTATTGTAAGGTTTATGGGTGTTGAGTAAGATAATGTTGCCTTCTTCACAACGGCTAGTAAGAAATTTGACCTCTTAAATATAAAAGTCCAACCATTACATGCCAGTCCTAAATCCTAATTATTATCTATATAGGAAAATGACACAAATAATAATAAATTAATGGTGATGATAATATTAATAATTAGACGCCTTAGGAAGAACTGAAGAAGGCGTAGGGTAGGCCATGCTAAGGAAAAGGCCACGCTTATTTATTTATTTATTTTTTTTTTTTTGTAAAAAAAGGCAACGCTTATTGATTTCAGTACTTGCATCATAGTTGTAACCCAGATGTACCGTCCTAAATGGTCAAAACTCTTCAATATAATTACTCTTTTTTTTTTCTTTCAATATATTACTTTTGATTGCTTAATCAGCTCCCAATTATTAAATCACCAAAATTATTATTATTTTTTTCTCTTATCACATATCATTTATTTAATAGCTTTTTTCCCCTTTATTTTTTCCCTAACGTCAAGGAAACAGCTAATTTACCGAAAACAACACAACAACGATGTACATTCATGCCCCACGCATTTTGGTTCACTCCAAGCAACAAAAATAACAACATCAATAAAAATAATTATAAAATCAAAAGAAAAAAATTACATTTTGGTTTCCTTTTCCAGTTCGTGAACTTTCTTTTCATGGTTGAAACAACTTATGATTCACATTCCTAAACAATATTACGAAGAAAATGATTTAATGTAATGGAGAGAACACTTTCAGGAAAACAATATCACATTGCATTTCCATCAAAAATCAAATTCACGTACACCACCAAAGTCTTCAAATAAAAAAAACCAAAAAAAAAGAATTATAATACTTTTTTTCTCCACAAATTTGCCATTAACCTACTATAAATCTCGATTGCTAAGGATCATGGTTGAATTTTGATTACAAAATCCCCGATAAAAAAAAATTTAAAAAAAAAACATTTAAAGAGAAAAGAAACAAAAAGAAAGGAAGGAGACAGAAATTCAATTCAATTCAATAAAAGTAATTAATCAAAAGGTCCATTTCCAGATCTTGATCCGAAGATCAACCTTACATTTGGCGTCGGACACCGATGCCACAGTCGGCGACTTACCTTTCGGTGCAACTCCTTTGATGTCTTCACACGTAACCCTAATCCCCACCTTCTTGCTCTTCAAACTTTCCATTTTCACTTTCACCTTCGTATCCATCTGGATCTCCAGTGGAATTCCGCTCTTTCTCTTCAGATCAGATCTCAACGACGTCGTCGAATCCGTGTCCAGATCTTGTGACGCCGAGATGATTGCACGGAACGTAGTCTCGTTCTTCTTCTCGCTGGTGAACGCCGGGATCGTGCCGTTGCCGATTTGGACGGAATTGGAGGAGGCGGTTAGGGTGAAGGCGTCGTAGTAGAAGGTGAGGTGGTTGTTTGGGTTCTTGGAGGCGATTGTGAGGTTGAGGAGCGTGGTGAGGTGGGAGGAGGAGGAGTCGGAGGCGGTGGTGAGGTTGAGCTTGGCAATGCGGAGGGAGATAACAGTGAACTGAGGGCGGTGGGGATGGTAGAGCACGTAGACGGCGGCGCCGGCGATGGCGGCGAGGAGAGCGAGGGCGAGGAGAATGAGAATCGACCAGAAGCAGCAGCAGCAGCAGATGCTCCGGCCGCTGCGGCGGCGACGGCGGTGGTGGTACTGAGGCTGGGGGCGGTATGGCGGCCGGGGCTGGGGCTTTGTGGCTGGATTGGCGGCGCCGTTGCCGCTAATCCAGCGGGGGCAGTAGCGTTGCCGTTGACATTGGCGGTGGGCTTTGAAGACGGGTGGACTCTGTCTGCCATTGTGGGATGACAATGGATGGGAGAGCGGAGAATGGAGGAGAGAGTATTTCAATGGGAATAATGAGCGTAAACGCGTGAGGTTTTTGTTGAAGAAAAGGAAGGAAATGTGAAAGGAAAGAAAGAAGGAAGAGAGAGAGAGAGGGACTGAGTACCAAAACGGATGCTTCCACCTCACCCGAGTTTGGAATCTGATTTTGCCCGACTCTCAACTTCTTTCCAAATTTTCTGTTAATATTTTCTCTCTTATATATGTCTTCTTTTTAATATTATTCTCTTCGGGGGATTTTTTTTTTTGGTGTATATTTCTTTTTTTATTCGCAAGTGTTTCTTCATATGATATTTAGTTACAAATGTTGTCTTAATAGTGTGTATTTCTAACCGGATAAATTTACTAAGTTTGGAAATAATCATATATTCATATGCGCTTATTAATAACAAAAGAGATTTTGCAATTGCATATCATACTACAGAATCTTATAAGATTATTGATGGTAATTGTAAGATTTAAATTTGAATTTACGATCCATTTAGTCTTCATATAAATTATTTAACTTTATATGAAACTCAAAACTATGAGAGATTTTTTTTAATAATAGTATTACACACTTCATAAGTATCATATGATTTAAGGCGTATCATTAATCTCTAAAGTGAGGTACCTTAAAATCTTATTATTAAGATATTTTACTTGTATCTATTAATTGTAATAGTTTTGTAAAATAAACTTTTATCATACTCAATTATTAAAGTGTGTTGGGTGAGAAAATGTGACGGACACATGGACGAACGATAATGCGACACGTGCCCTTGACTACTCTCCGCCAAGCAACAACCCTCGACGTCTACGGATCCCTCCTATTCCGCTGGAAAGCCCAAGGCACGAAGTCCAAATTAGGGCGACGATTCCTTCTGACGTCGACAGATCGCGCCGTCGAGATTAAGGCATGAAGATCCCTCGACCGCAGAAAGGACCGCCAAAGAGGGCAATTGGGCTAAGCAGCGTTGACGACGAGGGGAACGTTCTTTAGAGGACGTGACGGGTTGCGTGCAAAAGTGGAAGACGTCTGTAGGCATTAATTGCAAGCTCTCAAACCGCCCCGCAGGGGACAAGAAAGTATTACGGAAGAGCACAGAGCCGTAATAGGAGACTAATTGGCTGAGTGAACAGTGCTGATTAGTGGGCTACGTCTGGGCCTACTAAGGAAGAGCACTTGAGTGTTTCCACCTATGAAGGAAACCCCCTAAGCGAAGGAAGCCCAGTATAAAAGGAGGAAGACCCCTAGTAAGGAAGGGGTGGAGAGATTCCAGAAAAGAGAAAAAAGATTTAATGAGAGCAATTGTTGTAAACTGTTATCTTCTCAAAAGAAATACAAAATCACAGTGGATGTAGCTCTCGTTTTATAGAGTGAACCATTATAAAATTTCTGGTGTTGTTTGTCTATGCATGATTTAGTTAACACACAAACACACATATTCAACTAATCCTTTCATGTTCACTACACACAGGCCGGTAATCTAAAGGGAAACCAAGAGGTAACCCGGCCGGCTTTTGTTGGTGAAATTTGACCGTCAACAACGTGTATGAGTGAATTTTTTTCCATCTTGCTTTTACACTCTTTTTAATTTATATTATATCATTATATTTGATAGTCATTTACGAAATTTACCCATGAAAAAACAGAAATCACATATTTTTATTTTTCACACAGACTCAACAAAAGGAATGGGAATTTTATCTGGCGTGTGGAACATGAAAATGTGGAGGAGTGATAGCGATCCCATACGCACATCTCGCACGATCCATTGGTCGGTTCAAAAGACCGGCTGGTCTTTTTTTTTTTTCTTTTTTTTTTTTTCTTCTTGACCGGCTTGTCTTTGACGCTCGTGGTTAAGCATGTGATTGAGTAATTTGTCAGAAAACTGCGGGGTCCACTCTCTTCTTCTTTTGCAAGATCTCACGGTTGGAATTTGGAAAGTGGTTTTATTTTTATTTTTTTAATTATCTCTCTATTCTCTCATTCAATGCTGTGTTCTCCGAAATTATAAACTAATCCTTTCTTTATTTACGTTGCGTTTCTCTTAAATGAATTTCATTTTTTCTAATTCGTTTTCCATTTTTAGCTGCACAAGTGAAGTGATAATCCACTTTCATAAATCAGTTTAAAAAAAGTACTCATCGTAAGAAAGAAGAAAGTTTTATCATAATGCTGGGCAACAACCTAATCACAGAAAGATTAGGTGCTAATAAATTAGATGTTACGCTAAACAACATTGTTTGCCTTTAATACAAGAAATTAATTATCTGGTTTTCAGAGCAGAAAATGACTGGGGTTGGAAAGTAACAGAATATGGTAGTCAGAGAAGTAGAGGAACAATACCCAGAATGAATATAAGTGAACTAGAATAGAACCCCAGGGTCACCGACGACGACTGAGGTTAAAACTGTGAATAAAAATTTAAAAAATTGTGCAGATTTGGAGGTTTAGGGCAGCGAAAAATTAGTTAAGTAATCTTAGTCGCTGCTTGCATTTACTTAACTCCAAAGTCAATCGTTGCCTTGTTGCTTTCGAGGTTGGAGGATCCATTTTTATTTTTCATTTCAAGATTTTATGTGACGTTTGGTAAGGGGATTTGTATCTTGATTTGAATCATGGTTCATGGTTCGTTACAGTATTTTCTCTTATAAAAAATACATGTAAATAAAAAAATAATTCTAATTTTATTATTTTAATCTATAAACGAAACGTCTCCTTAAATTATAATTATGCGAAAAAATAGTCCGGATGGGTATTAGAACTCCAATGATTTTCTATTTCCTTTTGGCTGAGAAACCAAGGATTTAAAAAAAAAAATTAAAATAGTTAAAACACTAATTACTCACCAAGTGATATTGTAAAAAACACCGCCGACAATGGCTGTACTTTCCCATATTTCTTAAAATGTTAACGTGAGATTCTTTAGAGTCCGTTTAGTTGACTGATTTGAATTTTTAATTTGAGTTGAGATATGACTTTATGTGAGAGTTTTTTACTGTAGTCAAAAAATTAAATATAACTGCTTATAAGAGCTTTTTACTGTAATAAAACTCAAATTCTAAACTCGAATCAGTAAAGTGAACGGGACCTAATCTCAGCTTCTGCTACTTTATAACGCTGTGTTGGTATAGTTCTATTAGTAGAATAACACGATTTTAAGAAAATATTAAAACACAACTCGGAAAAAATTGTTGAACTTATTCTTGAGGTGCATAAATCTTAATTTTTACTATTTATTTTTTATTAATACCGTTTTAATTAATATAATTATTTAACTAAAAATAATATTAATTAAAAATAAGCTGTAAAAATTTAAATTCATATTTTAAAAGTTAGTTGTCTCATTTTTTCTATTACTTGACCAAAGACATTTTCTTTTTCTTCCTGGAAAGCAAGAAAAACAGATTGCAGTGCATTTATTCAGGTAGCAGTTGAATCTTTTCAAAGCTTAAAGATTAATGGGGTTGCCTTGCCATAATTAAATCTTTAGACATCGTTCACTTTGTGGATTCTAATTTTCAATTCAAGTTGAGATGCGACATTTTTTTAAAATTTTTAACCGTAGCAGAAAAAATTAGATGTGATATTTTCTAAAAGATTTTAATTATAAAAATTTAAAATTAAAAATTTAAATCAGTAAAATGAACGATATCTTAATTTAATTTGAAATTTGTGCTAGTACACGTGACAACATTGGCGCCAAAATTGCCAAGAACTTCCACTCTTCAATCGAAAGAACTAGTGAATTGACCAACCTCAGCACGTGATAGGACTCGCTAACTAACATTGCGGCCATTGAGTCTTTTCACTCTAATCAACTTTTCTTTAAGTCTTCACTCGTCACGAACACACTCAAGACTACTCGTCTTTCTATAAGAAGCATAATCAAGCCTTTTCATTTCCTTAATTTGGATCCCGCCTTTACACCTATCAAACCTCCTAAAAAAAAATACATAAATTAGAATAAAAGTCAGGGATTAAGGGTCTGTTTAGTTCGCTGATTTAAGTTTTTAATTTGAGTTAAAATATAATTTTATATGAGAGTTTTTTACTGTAGTTAAAAAATTAGATGTGATTATTTCTGAGAGCTTTTTACTGTAGCAAAACTCGAATCGGTGAAATGAACGGAGCTTAAAAAATTTTAAGTCTGAACCCTTTCCCTTTTTTTTTTTTTTTTTTTTTTTTCATTTTTGTTCTTTGTTGCCACTTAATTAAAAGCTGATAATTTAAGGAGATAGATTACAAAACCATTTTTGGCTATAAAATTCAATTAGTTCTGACAAAAAAGGGGTAAACTGCAACTGAAAATGTAGAACTAGGACTAAACCAGGCGAGTATGGAGAGGACATAATTATGTTAAGTTTATGTGATTCAAACACCAACTCTTTAAAGCTCTTTCATTTTACCGATTCAAGTTTTACTATAGTAAAACGTTTTCAGAAACAGTCACATTTAAACCAACGTTTGGAGCAAGAATCCGTGTCATGATTCGGCTCATGGTTCGTGGCTTGCAAGAGTATTTTTTCTCACAAAAAACACACGTAAATTGAGAATGGTTCTGAATCATAATTCTGAATTCACGAACTAAACGTCCTCTAATTTTTTTACTACAATAAAAAGCTCTCACATAAAGTTATATCTAAACTCAAATTAAAAATTCGAATCAGCAACTAAACCCCTAAGATTTTAAAGAGATATCAAAATGGTAACGTATTTTGTTATTTGTTTCTCTGTTTCGAAATAAACTTCTATATAATAAATTAAAAACATATGATGCGGTATAGATGTGTGTTTGTATTATATATACACATATATTTCATTATACAACATATATATGCATATGGTGTATATATTTCATTATACAACATACATATATATATATATATATATGCATATCGTTTTTCTTATAAGCACATGCATGTGCACGTGGGGAATTAACGAGCTACATATGCGGCCATAATACACTAGTCCAAAATACTAAAACGTGCATGTGAAAGCAATATTATATATGATTGTAATGTCAATACATGTGGCATGTTCAATGGTAATACGTGCATAATGTACATTACAGTATTCCCTTCGGTGCTTAGAAAAATAAATTCACACCGTCCGCACAATATACATATATACACTTGAAAAACACGTAACCTAAGGTACAAACATAATATCACAGAAAATACACACTTATGATGGTATATACATAGCACATGGCTGTATTTTTTTTTTTATTTAAAATTCAAGAACTAAAATTACCACACTTACGGCTAATCAACCTTGACCTTTCAATCACTGCATTACAAAAAGAACAATGGTAGAGCAAGTTAAAACACCCCTTTCATGTGATCATGTCAACGGCCTTCATTAGTTACAGAAGGTGATCTCTACAATAGTATCATAAATTAAAATCCAGCTTAAAAAGGCTTCAGTTACGTTTCTTGTACTTTAAAGTTCCGTTCATTTCACCGATTTGAGTTTAGAATTTGAATTTTGTT